GAAGAAATATGACGTTGTGCCATTGTCCATTGGAGGCAGAAACTAGCGTCGTTCAGCAGCACACCACAGGAGGGCCAGATGCCGCTCGATAGCCAGACGACCACCCTTTGGATCCAGCCGACCGGCGGCGCGCTCGCTGCCGACGTCCACGGCATCGATCTGTCGCGCGACATCGACCGCGCGACCTACCAGGTGCTGGCCGATGCCTGGGCGCGGCACCACGTGCTGCGCTTTTCCGGGCAGAAGCTCGACGACGACAGCCTGATGCGCTTCAGCCGCAACTGGGGTGAACTCGACCGTACGCCGGTCGGCACGGCCGGCCAGAAGGTCAATGGCGTCGCCGCAAATGCAGTCGACTGGATTGCGGTGATCTCGAACGTGAAGGTCGACGGCAAGCCGATCGGAGGCCTCGGGTCCTACGAATCGGTGTGGCACACCGACATGTCCTACAATCCGCTGCCGCCGCGCGCGAGCCTGCTCTACGCCATCGAGTGCCCGCCCTCCGGCGGCGACACCGGTTTCTCCAACATGGAACTGGCCTACGAGGCGTTGCCCCCCGATCTCAGGAAGGCGATCCAGGGCAGGACCTGCACGCATGATTCAAGCCGTAACTCGGCCGGCGAATTGCGCCGCGGCGCCAGGGAGACCAGCGATCCGCGCGAGACCCCCGGCGCCCATCATCCGCTGGTACGCAAGCATCCCGTGACCGGCCGCAACTCCCTGTTCCTCGGCCGCCGGGTCGGAGCCTACATCCAGGGCCTGTCGGTCGAAGACAGCGAAACCCTGCTGAACGCGCTGTGGGAGCACGCCAGCCAGCCGAAGTTCGCCTGGTACCAGCGTTGGCGCATGGGCGATCTCATGATGTGGGACAATCGCAGCGTCATGCATCGCCGCGATGCCTTCGACGACACGGCGCGCCGCGTCATGCACCGCACTCAGATCGTCGGCGAACCGGTGATCGCGGGATGAGCACACGGATCGAAGCCGTCGAGATCTATCGCACCGAGGTCCCGCTTACCGTTCCCTACAAGGTGTCGAAGTGGACCTTCACGGCTTTCGATCCCCTGATCGCCTCGATCCGCACCTCCGACGGTCGGATCGGCTGGGGCGAGGCCACGCTCACC